GAATTGCTGGAACCTGGGATGCAGAGGTTGCAGTGAGCTGAGATTGCACCACAGCACTCCAACCTGGGCAACAGAGCAAGACTCAATCTCAAAAAAAAAAAAAAAAAAAAAAAGCAAACTACTGGCTTCTGGGTTTCAGTAATACAGCACTTCTTCCAAAGGCTCCCCTCTTGTCAACAGCTTCACCTCAGCATGGCACTCACTCAAAGATAGCGATAGCCACCCAACCTGATTCCACATTCTTTCACTCCGACAGACTCTGTTCTAGGCACATCAGCTGAGTCACCATCCCTCCATTCTACCACACTCTTCCTTCCCAGATCCTCTGCCAAGAATTCCCTTTTCTATCTAGCAAACCCATATTCATTGCTCAACACCCAGTTCCCTCTCTGGGAAGTCTTTCCAACTCCCTCCAAGCTTATCAATTCATCTTTCTGTTCCCATCACTTTACATGTGGACCTTTCTTATCCCATGCTACTCTGCACCATGCGTCACATGGCATCATAATTCATCTTCTGTATCTGTTTTCCTTGCCAGTCTGGGAGCTTCTCAAGAGAAAGAATCGTGTCTTAAAGTCTGTTATATCCCAGGTACCACACATAGTAGCTGACATAAAGTAGGTGCTTAATAAATTAACTGAATTTGAACAGCATCATACAGCCCCAAACTATAAGCAAGTTGTTGATAGCTACGAAAGGTTATCTTATTTACACACCAACAACAGTGGCCATTTCATCCTAAGCAGACATCCCCCTGCTTACACAAACCACATCCTTTTCAAGTAACTCCTCACACAGCCCTGCACGACCAGGGGATGTGTGCTGGGCACTCAGGGAATTCAAGCCTAGGAAAAACATGATTCGGAAGACAATTCCTTTGAAAAGCTTCTGTAACAAATCCTAAAGCCAAAAAAAGACTTAGGATTCTTTCCTATTTCAAGATACGAACACCATTACTTTCTTCCATTAAGAGAGAAAATTTGGCCGGGCATGGTGGCTTACGCCTGTAATCCCAGCACTTTGGGAGGCCAGGCGGGCGGATTATCAGGTCAGGAGATCAAGACCATCCTGGCTAACCCAGTGAAATCCCGTCTCTACTAAAAATA